AGGATACACAGCACTCACGGCGACCCCCGTACTCCACTGCTGTACGACTTTTTTGCCCGGAGATCTCCGGCCTCGGCTGCCTCGTCCCCATCCAAGATGGCGCTCACCCGATCTTCAGCGGCCGGCCTCCACTCCAGTAAAAAGCTGGGTTCCAGACCCCTGGGAGGCAATTCGTCCCAGACTCCTGACCTGGTGGATCCTCCCGACTTTGCTGGCTCCCAGCCCTCGAACCGGGCGCCGGGTGTGCCGCGACCGGACTCCCCGATTGGCCCCTCCCCTTTCTCACACATGGCGGGCCCAGATAATCCAGATGAAGGCTCCCCACCAAACCGGACTTAGACAACATGGCGTCATCCATTGTGGCAGCCCTGAAAAAGGAGCTACACGATCTCACCCACCGCATCACGGAAGTTGATGATCGCGTCACGTCGGTGGAGTCTGCCACTGCATCTCTGTCGGCTAGGATGGAGGCCCTGGAGGCGGACGCCCAGCTGACAAGCTCTCGCCTGCTCTCAATGCATCTCCGCTTGGATGACTCCGAGAACCGGAATCGCAGGAACAATCTGCGCCTGAGGGGCATCCCGGAGGCCACGGCTGGCATCCATCTCAGAGATACTGTGGTGGCCATCCTCAACACCCTCCTGGGTAAACCGCATGACGCAGCCTTGGAGCTTGACCGGGTACATAGGGTTGCTGGTGCCCGTCCCCCTACACCTTCCGCACCAAGAGACGTTCTATGCAGGGTGCACTTTTTCGCTGTGAAAGAGGAGATCGTCCGTCAGGCCTGGAGACAAGGCCCTTCTGATTTTGATGGCGCTACCATTCGCATCCTGCCAGACCTCTCCCGCCACACTCTTCGCATGCGGCGCTTAGTCCGTCCTCTGTTAGACCTCATCCGCTCTACCTCTGCCACATATCGTTGGGGGCACCCGTTCCACCTCATCGTCCGGCGAGATGACTCCACCTTTCAGCTACACACACCCGATCAGCTGCCGGCCCTGTTTCGTTTCCTAGATGCCGACCCGGTGGACATCCCCAACTGGCTTCTATGCTGATCTCGCCCCCCTCAGAGTCCTATCCAACATTCCTGGCCAAATGGGAAAGTGACCTCAACACCTCCTTCACACCAGTACAGAAAGACCGCATACTACATCTCGCTCACCACTCTTCCATCGCCTCTAAGACTCAGGAGTTAGGATACAAAATAGTCTCCCGGTGGTATTGGGTTCCAACTGTCTTACACGCCATGTAGCCCCACGTCTCACCATTATGCTGGAGATGTCGCACCGCCCCAGGCACGCTATTGCATACTTTTTGGTCTTGTCTCCTACTGCTCCCTTTTTGGCAGGGGGTGACTGCCACCCTGAAGGACCTGGTAATGGTGGATCTGACAGACAACCCCACGGCATGTTTGCTGCACTTAAACAATATGTCTCTTGGGAAATATAAAAAATCCTTGTCTCGGCACCTCTTGAATGCTGCCCGCCAGTGCATTCCATTACTATGGAAACAAACTAGCTGCCCTACCCTTAGGTCGTGGTTCACTAAGGTCGACGAAACATATCTGTTGGAGGATCTCACCTCTACGCTACGGAACACCGAGGAGCTTTTCCGGTCCACCTGGAGACCATGGGCCCTCTTCCAAGGTACGGATGCCTACCATCAGGTCATGCACGCAACGCCCTCCTAAGCGGTTTCGTTAGACACGCGCCCAAGGCACCTGATCCACAACCATCTTTCATACCCCCTGGCTCTTCCGTGCTGCTAGTTTCTTTTCTCCTTTTCGTCTCTCCCACACCCCACCCCTCATGCCCGCCTTCCCGCTCCATGCCTGCCTTCTCCCTCCCTATCCTTACTCTTCTCTTAGACATCGACCACTTACCTAGCCATATACATCTGTTTTTGTGTATTAAGAAATGATGCCAAATGTAAGTGCCTCTATCCCATCCGATAGATATGTTGTACAAAACAACTTGACGTGAACGCTACGTTTCCAACCTGCCTCTATGGTGCATTGTTTTTTGCTCCTTGATAATTTTTCTTTTTCATGCTCGAATTTCACCAAAGTTGACTTCCGTGACGTGCCACGGTTCCCTTCTTTTCTCGTTGAGACGATCAACCCCCTCCTCCTATCCATATTGTATGCACTATGTTATATAGATGCACCATATACCCCAGATTGTTATGGGGATGCTGTCATGATGTTGAGGCTGAGCCTCCCTGTACCATTGTACCATGCATATGTTCAATAAAGTTGACTTCTGATAAAAAAAAAAAAAAAAGAGAACTATGGGGTAAGTGTTTTTCCCTATAGTTCTCTTAAGGGTCACGGGAGGACATATACTAGCGTCCTCCCGCAAACCCAAAGCTCAGTAGATCGCGAGCTACTGAGACGGCTGCAGCCGGGATGGATCCCCGACAATGCTGTCGAGATCCGCCCAGCTGTGTGAATGACAGCGGGCTCTGCCTATCTAGAGGCAGAGCCAGCTGTACCCGCCCCCTCCCCCGTCCGTTCCTCCAGTCAGCGCTGGAGGATCGGAGCGGGGAGGGGGGGACCGTGAATGACAGTCACCGTTCTCGGCAGCGACATGATCGAGAAGTGAGTGAGCGACTGTGTGTCTTCGCTCACTTCCCGATCTATTAAGCCAACGTGTGACAGTTTCATTGTCACACGTATGCTCGAACTATGAGGATGAGTGATTTTCACTCACCTCATAGTTCTCCTTTAAGGAACGAATGATTCCAAGACATGTATTTTGCTTGGAGGCAATATACCTACAAGCGACTTCTATTCTAGACTCGCCGGCATCATTTAAAGTGTATGTAAACCCCAACAATGACCTTCGCTTATTTGGGTTGCCAGATATACAATTGAAAGTGTTTTGTTTGATCTGTTCAATAATAGCAAAACAAAAACAACAAAAAACACTGTTGAATCTGGAAGTGGTAACCCCGTAACAGGAAGTGCCTACACATTGACCTTCATGGCAGAATCACTAAGTATTTTCTTTACTTAAACCTGCTGATTTAAAAAGAAACCATCTTTTGAAATGACATGAATATATTAAAGTTTACATGAGACTAGTGATTGGATTTAGACTTGCTTTTAGTCACTGCATTAGCTAAATAGGAATTTCTAAGGGTTGATATATGCAAACTTCTGCTGCCAACTTGTTTTCTGGAGGTGTAAACCCCATGGATATCTTTCTGAACTTTGCTTCTCTACTGACAAGCAAGTCACGGACCCAGAGCAAGCATGGACACCTGGCATCCACACTGGCCCACCATGTAGTAATGGAAGCAGAAGGATGACGGCCTTGGAACGTTCTCCTTTACAAATAGTCAGCAATGACAGCTTTAATATTTCCATGCTGTGACATGTTACTTTGAAGGAGAAATGTGAAGGAGGATGAATGTCCTACAATGGACATGACATGCCAGGCACTCCGCTAGGAGGAAGGCCAGGTTTTCATGCAAAGTGGCGGATCTAAAAATAACCATTTTTGGCACAAAAAAATGTTAAACGTCAAACTGAAGGATGATTAATGTTTTAGAGGAGAACATCCTTTTAAAAAGGAAGCATGAATGTATTTAATACTGAACTGAGCTATTCTCAACAAGCTTCTCTATAACCCTAAGGAACCGCCAGGGGTTGCCAGGTGTTCCCTGAGCAGTTGTAAACTGACCTCCCATCTGATTGTGCCTGCACAGTTCTGGGCCAATTGTTAAAGTCAGTGGCATGTCTCCAATGATCATTCTAGCTGTCTGTAAGGGAGGCATTTCTCCACTGACAACTGATGTAACAGTCAGTCTGTGTTTCTCCTCTGGCCATTATTGTCATTATTCACTTAAAGAAGAACTCCAGACAAATAAAAGTGGATCTACCCCAGCACTGCAATGGTTACATGTTTGTTCTGCCTAGGGAGTTAAAATAACAAAGATATACTCACCTGAACCGCAAACCTGGCTTGCTCTTATACTGATGCCTTCATCCTTGCTCACCCACCGCTCCAGCAATGGACCGTCCCTTGTCGTTCTCACATCCTATACACTGTATAGAACGTGATGACTCACAGGACCTTAGACCTCGGGTTTGGGTGAGTAGAACTTATTTTAGCTCTCTTGACAAATCGAGCACTTAACCCTTGCAGAGGTAGCCCCACTACAGTTGTTGAGATTTTATTTGCCCGGATTTCTTCTTTAATTTTGTGATTATTATAGATATTTTATGATTAGAACTGAAAATAATTTTTTATTTATAGCATTTTAGTGGTAAAATGATCAAACACAATACACGTGTCAAATACTCTAGGTATGCCATATTCTTTATGATTATTGAACATAAATGTTAAATATGCTAGGTATGTCATATATCATTTATATTTATGAGGTAGGTCATATTTAATAATAATACCAAAATTATGATAAGTATAACTTACTGATATTAATGAAAAAATTAACTGCAGATAAAACTTTTAGCAGGAATACCCCGATACCTGTACATTATTTCAAGTGTTCCTTCAGAGTAAAACATTGAGAAACGCTGGTCTGAATACAGGATTCATGCATCTCCTTAATTAAATCTTGGTGCCTTTGTGTATTTTTACCAGATCTGTGCAGTAATTCATCATTAAATAACTCCTCTGTGTAGGAGCTTCCTGTAATTAGACCGGTCACTGCTGCTCTCTCTCCTTGTGCAGGGTGACTGGTCTCGTCTCCGTCCCCTCCTGTCGTTTTCTATAGGCAGCCTGTAGTGGGTGGATCCTGTTGGGTCCCTCTCACTGCTCTGATCTCTATACAGGCTATGTACAGAACAGTGATGTCACCATTCCTTTCACAAGTTAATATTTGGGTTTGCTGCACATAAAACAGGTTTACATTTTATGGGGCTATTGAGCAATATAGTCACATGAAACTTTTTGCGCTCAGAGTTCAGCTTTATTTGCTCTTCCCTGACATTATACTATATAAAAAATGTCCACAATAGAAAAGAAGATAACCTGGATGACAGGCTGGACAAAGCTCTGTTGAGGACCTCTGGAGTGTCATCAGTCGGAGTGCCTTGTTGAGTACTGGCAGGGTCAGTTTTACTGTCGCTGTCAGATGCCGTCTCGCCATCAAGTTTGATATCAGGTTCAATCTCCTAGAAGAAAAAGAAACACGGTTCACTTACAAACATAACCCATACCTTCTGTACAATACGATTATGAACAATGGAGGTTTATCAGGCACGATAGGTAAAGACTCTGCCACTCAAAGCTGAAAGCTATTTATATACACAATAGTTACATTGGTCTAGTTTGGGCCGATGTAAGAAGATATATATTTTTTACCTATATCCTATGGGGATCCTATAAAACACTGCAGTAGCCGGCACTTCTGTAGCTGGTCCTGTATGGCTCTGAAAGCACAGGGGGTTCCTCGCTCGGCACAGCGGCCATTCAAAGAACACCTCTTATTTGTATTAATGAATACTACTAGGCTTTCTCCGATTGGATGAGGGGCACTGCCGTTAACGTCACAATCCTTAACATCACACCATTCCCCATCCTCATCAAAAACATAACATAGAAGGGGAGAGCCAAGTAGGATTCTATTTTCTCTGAGGGAAGGTAAATGCACAGTGTGACTTGTACCATTTAAAAATGTCCTACAAAACATGCGTCACTGCTAGTGTGAGGCCTTGCACATTGCTTTGCACGCGCCAAACATAAAATATATTGATGATGCTAAATCCACTTTAAAGAAGAATTCCAGAATTTTCAAAAGTTAAACCTTGCAGTGGGGCTACCCCCGCCCCCTCCCCCACTGTACTGCGAGGGTTAAGCGCTCGTTTTGGTCTAAGGGCGTAAATAAATATAATATACTCACCTGATCCTCAGACCCTGGCTAGCCTCTTCACGCCCTGCAAGGTCCATTCACTTGCATTAGACGTGAAGACGCCAGGGGACATACCACAGCCAGAGTCAGAGGGAGAGAGCTGAGCAGTCACCACCACAGGATTGAGGATCAGGTGAGTGCATCTTCTTTATGCTGTGCCCTAGACCAACATTAGAAACAGGGACACCGGCACTCCGAATGCATCTATTTATTGACGTAGATGCAGCATATCACACCAGTGTGATATGCTGCATCTACGTCAATAAATAGACGCATTTGAACCGCATTTGGAGTGCCGTGTTTCTACTTATAAAAGATTGTTATTCGTTGACCACCGCAGCACCCATCCTGATTTTTGTGGAACGAGCAGTCAGGAGTGCGATGGGTCCATGATTTTCGGTAGACCAAAATTAGCCTCACTGCAAGGGTTAACTTTTGAATTTCCTGGAGATCTGCTTTAAAATTTCCTCCCAAAATGCAAAAGGCAGTTCTTATATTATATTTGAAAGATTGCATGACTCAAGCAGTATTAGATAATACAAGGCCAATGTTGGCTTGCCAGAAACATGAACATTAAAATAATGCTTTGCTGTCATTTGTATGTTGGCCTTGGAAGTCCCGGTTAGCAGGGGATAGAGCTCTGCCCTGCCAGGTTACTGTGACAACCTTTTCCCTGATGGCTTCTCTCCCCACCTCTCCACATTTGCCTATAATCCTCCAGATCTGCAACCGCTGCTGCCTGGAAACTACACGGGTTTATACAATCTATGTATCAACTGACAAGTGAAATTGTCAAATTATGCCAGACATAAGATAAGATCTTATATATGCACCATGTCAACATTCATTCACATGCACGTGAGCATGTTCCATGCATTGGTATGTGTATAATGGGCTCTGTAAGGAAGTGATGATGACATTGCTTGTATTATATCAACCAGAGGTTCTGGGGAAGCCTAGGGTTCCTGCAGATGTTGCTAGGGGTTTCTTGATCTGTGGCTGATTGACCTCTCATGCCATGGTGCCTCCATAATTCCAGGTCCAAACCCTGCACTCTTCCAAACCCCGGCACGGTTGGCACTCTTCCAAACCCTGGCACAGGTGGCACTCTTCCAAACCCCGGCACAGGTGGCACTCTTCCAAACCCCGGCACAGGTGGCACTCTTCCAAACCCCGGCACAGGTGCTCAACCTT